ATTGTATAGATAAATCATTACAGTCTATACAGGGTGTTTTTTAAACTGTCTAATTTGTTCATCACGGTGCAGGTATTCAGAGGTATACTGACTTTCCTAAGGGGTCAATTGAATGTGCAGTAGAGAGTGATTGGAAGAGTGCTGGAAGTGGCATTTTGTAATCTGCAGACAGAGAATTTTTTTAAACCACTCCCTTTTTCTCTTGAAATGTGGCTTGTACTAATCTCCACTTCATTCAAATGATTTATGAAACTCTTAAGGTCTGCATAAAAATCACCCCTCACCTCTAATTTTTTCATGCAAATTGTCTTTCATGTGTTAAGTAAACATATTCAGGGTCAGTATGTAAGCCTGGAAAGCTTTTTTGAAATATCTTTATATAATCAGCTACGATCAACCAAGATTGTATGTCTTTTTAATGATGCTGATACTCTTAGTCTGGTAGTTCATATGCTTAGAGAAAATACTTCTTATTCCCACCCCCTGAAATATTGAGAAGCTTCCTCAACAACTATATCTTCATAGCTGTTCATTTTAATTTTATTTCTTTCAGGTGCTGACGGAGTCCCAGTCAGATGCTTCCTTACGGAATTTTTATCTCCTTTTTGTTATTGGCAGAAGACAAAATAATCACTGTGGGAGCACAAGAACCACTTTGGGTGTTGGATTTTAAACTGAACCACCGGACGGCGTGACTTACCTGGCTATTCCCAACGTCCGGACAAAAATGGAGACTCTGTCCCAGGATATTCTGCTGGAATGTCAGATTTGTTTCAATTACTACAGCCCTCGGCGGAGGCCCAAGTTACTGGACTGCAAGCATACCTGCTGTTCAGTTTGCCTTCAGCAGATGAGGACCAGCCAGAAGGACCTGCGGTGTCCGTGGTGCCGAGGGATCACTAAACTGCCGCCTGGCTTTTCCGTCTCCCAGCTGCCGGATGACCCAGAGGTCATTGCTGTGATTGCAATACCCCACACATCAGAGCACACTCCAGTCTTCATCAAACTTCCTAGCAATGGGTGTTACATGCTGCCCTTGCCCATCTCCAAGGAGAGGTCCCTCTTGCCAGGAGACATTGGCTGTCGCCTTCTCCCAGGCAGCCAGCAAAAGTCTCTCACTGTGGTGACAATCCCAACCGAGCAGCAGCCATTGCAAGCTGGGGTCCCGCAGGAGGCTGGAGACGAGGAGCAAGACAGGAGGGGCATAGTGAAAAGCTCCACCTGGTCAGGGGTTTGCACTGTCATTCTGGTGGCTTGTGTCCTGATCTTCCTCCTGGGAATTGTCCTCCACAACATGTCCTGCATCTCCAAGCGCTTCACTGTGATCTCCTGCGGCTGAAAGGAGACGGCCATGGCGAAACCTCCTAGGGATTTGGGCAGGTGGATATGGTGGTGACAGTATGCCATGAGACGAAGCGCTGTCGCACGGACTGTTCTCGAGTACTGAGTCACTGACATCAGGCAAGCTGATTGATAGTCCAGAGTCTGCTGTAAAAAATAAAAAAATAAAAAGTAGGGCCTTGAGACCTGTTGGTAGAGTATGGGCACATCCAGTGCTTATTTGCTGGTAACAGTATCAAGGAAGACTGCATGCATCACCATAATCACTTAACAAATGAGCTGTAATTTGTAATGATTTCATCCTGTTATGAGATTCAAAGATGTCTATTTAGCTGGTTCTACTGTAAAAGTATAGGACACAATCTCTCCCCCTTCTCTCTGTCTCTCTCTTTCTTAACAGAGTAGTAGATTTACAAATCGAAATGCTGTATGTTCAAGTAGATTTCAACATTTTGGATTAAGAAAGTCGAGCTACCCAGTACTTTTCCAGACGTAGCAAAAGCATAACTCTCTATTTTTAAACAGCAAAGGGGAAGATGTGAAAAGTAGTCATTTAGTCAATAAGGCTTTTTTGTATCTTTTAAATTGCACATAAATGGTTTTAAAAAAATCTGTGCCATAGTTATAGAAAGGAAACATTTCTTTTTCTAAAGCTTTGGAAGTATTTTGGATGTAATATATGTGTGTTTATGCTCATCCTGTTTTCTTCTGTAGTTTAAGTGATTTTTTTAAAAAGACGTGAAATGGGACCGATGCATAGAAGCAATAAAGGGAATTAGCAAGGATATCTAGAAGTTCAGCTAAAATGTTTGTCCCTTCTGCAAAACTCTACTTGACAATGTAACTCCTGGGCATGCTATTTCAAGCGCACATAGTGGATGTATTAGGTTTCTCAAGCACCTGTCCTTCAGGAGCTAGTAGGAATAGCATAATACAAGATGCCAGCTGATCTTTCTACAAGTGTGGCACAGTGAATGACTGTTGAAGACTTTGATTCAGGTTGTCTATCATTTGAATGCAAGCTGAAACTACATTCCTGAAGGAAGCATAACTAAAGTGCAGTTTCTATAGATACTTGTTCATTATTGCGACTGTGGAGTGCAAACTGAGGTTGTGCTTATGATGCAGAATGTATAAATAAACCAGATATGTGGCACTGCCTACTGTCAAGTGTGGAAAAATTACAATCCTAAAATTGAAAAATAGTAATAAATAAATAAATAAATAGGCAAGCCGGTGGTAACCTGGGTCAGGAAAAGTAATAATCCCTTAAAGGACAAGCTGTTTTCCTCATCTTTATTCCAAGTGGACTGTGAAGGTGAACTCTTGTTTTGCAAATCACAAATGATGGTGCTCATTTTAAGGAAAGCATATTGGGGATGTACACAAGGCAGAGGGATTGAAGTGATTGGCTCCTTGACCACGTTCATACTATTCATCCTGGGTTTTTTTTTTTTTTTGGTTTTTTTTTTGGCGATACAGGCGACTTGAGAAGTCGCTTCTGGTGTGAGACAGTTGGTGGTCTGCAAGGATGTTGCCCAGGGGACACCAGGATGTTTTGATGATTTACCATCCATGCGAGAGACTTCTCTCACGTCCTCACGTGGGGAGCTGGAGCTAACAGAGGGAGCTCATCCACGCTCTCCCCAGATTTGAACCTCTGACCTGTCAGTATTCAGTCCTGCCGGCACAAAGGTTTAACTCATTGCACCACTGAGGGCTCCTTCATGTTGTGGAGAAAGAAGTTTCCTTTGACAGCAGTAAAAATATCCAAGATGTTTGTTTCACGTTTTTCAAAATGGGTAATCTTCTACCATTGAGCTCATTTTATCAGGAGACAATATCTGTTTGCAAGAGATTATGAACCTTGTCCAGGCCTTGAGACAAACATCTGGACTTGTAAACAGAGAAAGTCATGCACTCATCATCAGGCCTAGACTTTGACTACAAGGTGGTGGACTTTTAGCATATTTCTCCATCCCACCCCCCCATCATAGTGGTGCTGGCAGCTATTTAGCCCCCGGTGGCGCAGTGGGTTAAACCCCTGTGCTGGCAGGACTGAAGACCGGCAGGTTGCAGGTTCGAATTCGGGGAGAGCGTGGATGAGCTCCCTCTATCAGCTCCAGCTCCTCATGTGGGGACATGAGAGAAGCCTCCCACAAGGATGGTAAAACATCAAACATCCGGGCGTCCCCTGGGCAGCATCCTTGCAGACGGGCAGTTCTCTCACACCAGAAGCAAGTTGCTATTCTCAAGTCGCTCCTGACAAAAAAAAGAAAAGAAAAAAAAGAAGCTATTTAGCCTTCCATGTTTTATGATGGTAAAATCAATTGAAATTACCTTGCTTCTTCATGAGACATTCTTCATTTTATGACCCATTTTTATGATCATGGACTACAACTCCAGCATCCCTCACCTTTGGCTGTTCTGGCAAGGACTGCTGGGTTCTCACCTAACAATATCTGAAGGGTCTCACTTTGCTCACCTCTGCTTTGTACCTATTGCATGTGGGAGATTTTTCCAGTGATGCATCCATCTTACGCTCTTGAGGATCAAGTAGAATCAAAATCAAGTATCATCTACTGCCGTCCTTATTGGACAATCTCACCTAAGATTTTAGGTGAGGAATTGGCACGTTCAAACGTCCTCCAATTCAGTAAACTTCCTTCTTGTACTCTTCCTGCTCCCTTCCTCCATATCTGGGTGATATCCTACAGCTGTATTCTGATCCCTTCATCCGTATCCTTTTGTTATCCTCCACCCTGGGTTCAGTTGTCTTCACTGTTTCATAGAATCATAGAGTTGGAAGAGACTTCGTGGGTCATCCAGTCCAACCCCATTCTGCCAAGAAGCAGGAAGACGCATTCAGAGCAGTCCCAACAGATGGCCATCCAGCCCCTGTTAAAAAGCCTCCAAAGTAGTAGCCTCCACCACACTCCTCCACCACACTCCGGGGCAGAGAGTTCCACTGCTGAACAGCTCACACAGTTAGGAAATTCTTCCTAATGTTCAGATGGAATCACCTGTTGTCTAATGCTATTATTCTACATCCTAGTCTCCAGGGCAGCAGAAAACAAGGTCGCTTCCTCCTCCCTATGACTTCCCCTCATATATTTATAGATGGCCATCATGTCTTCTCTCAGACTTCTCTTCTGCAGGCTAAACATGTCCAACTCTTTAAGCCACTCCTCACAGGGCTTGTTCTCCAGACCCTTGATAATTTTAGTTGCCCTCCTCTGGACACATTCCAGCTTGTCAACATCTCCCTTCAATTGCAGTGCCCAGAATTGGACAGTTTCAGGTTAGAAGTTCACTGTGCGTGGAGCAGTACCATGTTGATAGGAAAAGCAAATTTTAGTCTTTCACTCTTATGTCCCATTGTTTTCTGTTAGGAAAATGGGTAGCGGTTTAAACCTGCCGCTGTTTAATGTTGTCCTGTAATGAAGCCTTTAGGATATCCCCCCCCCCCCCCCCCGCGTATGGTCAGTTTATTCCTGGTCTCAAATGAACATGCTGGAGCAAGTCAAGTTGTTTGTTTATATAAGCTGTGATCCTGAGTTCAACAAGTCTCATACTTCATTCCTCAGTATTTTTTTAAGAACAGCTCCTTCTCCATCTAATATTTGTCTTTAAAAAAGATTAAGGCATGCTGTTGACTTCTTTGCTCTAAAGCATTTTGCAGAAACTGAAGTCCCTGGAAATTTGGTTTGCTGAATAAAGTGCCAGTAATGGCTATTTACTTCCTTTGATAGAAATTACTGTGTAAATACGTTCTTAGTACCATGTATCATCAGTGGATAGCCCATAATCGGAAAGCTCCTTATTTTGAGATCATTCAAACTAATTTGTTGTAGGATATGTAAACATAAGTTGATTTTTTCCGTGTTATGAATGACTTTAGAAACTGCAAGTGGCTTCTGGGGTGAGAGAATTGGCCATCTGCAAGGATATTGTCCAGGGGATGCTCAGATGTTTTACCATCCTGTAGGAGGCTTCTCTCATGTCCGTGCATGAGAAGCTGGAGCTGACAGATGGGAGCTCACCCTGCTCCCCAAATTTGAAGTGCTGACCTTTTGGTCTGCAGTCCTGCTGACATAAGGGTTTAACCCATTGCACCACCTTAAGTTGATTCATTGTGTATATTGTTTGAAATGCACAGTGCTTTACAAGTAGACTTTATACACCTTTTTCTTCTCTTCCACAAGCCACTTTTTATTGCTGAAATATTGGGTTTGATATCAGATATACAACATTACATTTTATAATTGAAACCAGCAGGCTGTCCATTACCTATCACCATGTATAAAGGTGGAATGTCAAGAAAATGTGATGTTTATGAGCTATGTACTTGAGAGTTTTCCCCTACAGGCCAACATAATTCTCAAAAGCATGTACGCTTAAGCTGATTTTTACTGGGGTTTTACACGTAGGCTTGTTGCTCGTTGCCAGAGGAATTGAAATAGTGAGATGCTCTTAATTCCTAATGCATCTGACATAGAATTAGATTTCTTACTAGGCTTTGATGTTGAAAACCCATTTCCATATACATGAGCACATTTTTTAGAAAGCTAAAAACTTGAGTGGCCAGAGTTTGCAAAACACTTTGTGGGACAAGTCCTTGGATGGAATTTGGAAGAAGAGAATGTATACATATTGAAGATTTGCTACTGAAGTCTTCCCACACTAGAGAAACTTAAAAAAATTGTAACATGAAAGGAGCAATTTGCTTTTCGGCAATGGTCTGTAGCAGTGGTTCCCAACATTTTTTTGACCAGGGACCACTTGACCAGGGACCATTCTCCAACATTAGTACCAAAAGGGTTGCAAATCAGTTTTTGGTCAACTTTAGATTCTGTTTGGTTATTTGGGATGCTTATTCAGAAAATTACATTGGCTAGACCAATGCAATTGGTCTAGCCAATGCAATTTTCTGAATAAGAATCCCAAATGCAATTGGCTAGAAACAACATCATACGAAAGCTGACTGGCACAACCTGGGGATCACAACCAGACACAGTGAAGACATCTGCCCTTGCGCTATGCTACTCTGCTGCTGAGTATGCATGCCCAGTGTGGAACACATCTCACCACACTAAAACAGTGGATGTGGCTCTTAATGAGACATGCCGCATTATCACGGGGTGTCTGCGCCCTACACCTCTGGAGAAATTACACTGCTTAGCCGGTATTGCACCACCTGACATCCGCTGGAAAGTAGCAGCCAATAGTGAAAGGACCAAGGCAGTGACATCTCCAGCTCATCCCTTGTTTGGGTATCAGCCAGCACGATAACGACTTAAATCAAGAAATAGTTTTCTAAGATCTACAGAGACACTCGCTGGAACACCTCAGCAAGCGAGAGTCCAAAAGTGGCAGGCTCAAACCCAGCACCTCAACCAATGGCTGATACCAAATGAGAGACTCCCCCCTGGGCACACAGAGGACTGGGCGACTTGGAAGGCGCTGAACAGACTGCGCTCTGGCACCACAAGATGCAGAGTCAACCTTCAGAAATGGGGCTACAAAGTGGAATCCTCGACATACGAGTGCGGAGAGGAGCAAACCACTGACCACCTGCTGCAATGTAACCTGAGCCCCGCCACATGCACAATGGAGGACCTTCTTGCAGCAACACCAGAAGCACTCCAAGTGGCCAGATACTGGTCAAAGGACACTTAATCAACTACCAAACTCATAAATTTTGTGTTTTGTCTGTTTGTTCGCTTTGTTTTGTTAGAAATGTAATATAATTTGACTGGTTGTCCTGACACGACAAATAAATAAATTGGCTAGACCACATCAGCTCAAGTTTCTGATACAGAACATATACTATCCAGTAGTGGCCATTTGCTTGCACACAGAAAACGATATTTAATAATCTAGAGTTGGTGTGGTTTATCCATTGCAATTTTCTGTATCAGCATCACAAATAATCCCAGGAACAGGCCTAAAAATGAAGACACCAAGGTGCCTCCGCTTCCAGGCACCATAGTGTGGGAGGGAGGAGGAAGAGAAGCAGCAGTCAGGAGGCTTTTCATGGGTAGTCAACATCTCCCCTCCCAACATCCCCGTTGCCTCGGCACTATAAGAGGGTTTCGCAAGACCAGTTGCTCTCGTTGCAACAGTATAGTAATGGTGATGCCACTTTTTAGTTCTTGG